TATTCGAATTACTTACTGACTTATTTATAAGAGATCTAATTCTAATTGACTTAATTGGAAATTAAGGTCCTACCAATCCTAAAAAGATTGGAAGAAGAACTAGTCCCTAATAATATAAATTATAAATCATATACATTAAATGCTCCCAAAATAACCATCAGTATGTACATTCTAAAGTAATACAATTTAAATAGTGTGGAAGGAGCAAAACCAAGCACTGCCACACCAATGAATTTAGTACAAGCAATACCAACAAAAACTGATGTTCCCATTGTTGACATTGCCTCTCTCACTCTATCCCATCTTTAACCTTAACATAATCTAAATTTTATTATTATATGAGCAACAAACTCAACTGCCAATCCTATACAAGTTACTAAATTGACAACACTAACTGCATTTATTTCTATCTAACTTAATTGTATTAAATCATTACCACAAAACCACCAAATATTATATTTGTTAACCATATTGTTCCTATTAAGTTAAATGCAATTAAAAACACAAACAATACTACTATAAGTGCACATATGACATCTTAAACTAAAGTCATTGTGAAGAAGATAGTTGCCAATGCTAATAATACATTAGTTATGGCTACTGCTCTAATATATGAATATTAATCATAAAAGACATATGGCATAGAATAAGGATATACCTTTTAACCTTCTTTTAAATTTGCCTATTTAACAACTTTATCAATAACTTATCTAGTCTACTCTAAAGATAAAATGTATCCAGCAGAATTATGTATAGGACGATGTTAAAATCTCAATCTACTAGTCTTTACATAACCTGTTTCATTTAATACAATGTCAGCCTCAAATGTTTCTCCACAAATACCATATCTTTAACAACAAGGAGAATTTATTCTAACTCCTAAAAATCTTTTTAATTGAGTAGGTAAATCATATAATGCAATATCTTATGTTTCACAAGCTTGTGTCCATTCAGCTGATTCTCGAGTAAATAAATTAAAAGAAGCAACCCAACTATAAATTGGTGGTTGTACAGTTTCATTTAATCTTGATAAAGAATTAGATAAATTAGCTACTAATTCTAAATCATGGGGATCTTAATAATTTAAATTTTCTAATATTAAATAAGCTAATGGTCCTATTTCAATATATTTCTTTTCTAAAGTCATATAATTAAATAAATCAGACCCTTCCACCATTGAAACCTACTCATCCAATCCAACTTTAATTTTAGTAATTCCTACACAACTAATAACAAATAATGCCACAAATATTATGATTGTTATTATTATGCAAAATGGCTTTTATAAAAGTTTAGAATATGTCTTCTTAAAAAATGTTTAAATCAATTTTCTATCTTCTCTTAATTGATAATTTATATCCTACTTACAAATAATAAGATCATATCTTTTATGTTTCTTTCTCTATTCATCCCATGTTAGAAAAGCAACAAACATTGTAATTTACAAAAAATAATCAATGAAAACCCCTACAGCTGCTTAAATACAAAATGATTATAAAGCAGGCATCTTAGTTAATGATCCAACCAAAAATGCTAAAGTTTCACATATTGCAGCTATTGTTATGCTAGGACCAACTTATTCTAATGTATTACCCATTCTTTCTAATATTGTTGGATGTTTTTGCTTTTTAAATTGATGTGTTATAATAAACATATTATCAACACCAATTGCCAATATTAAAAATGGAATGACCTTTATTATTTATATAATAATACTTCCAAACTAATCATTGTCAATCCTATATCAAAATATGATACAAGTCCAATACTACTTATCATAGAAACAGCTACAATAAATATTCCTCCCAATCCTAAAGTAAATCCATTGTATATTTTACTAGGAAATTACCCTATAGCAAATCCAATGTAAGCAAACATCATTAAGTATGAAACAACTACAATCCAAGCATTTTAATTTGTCTCATTATTAATTTCATCTGAAACTGATCTTTCTGCCATAAAAGCTACTTTATATTGATCTAAAAGTTCCTCTTTTGGAGCAACCATCAAAGATTTATTATAATTATCATAAAGTTTTTTGTAATCCCGTTTATTAAGAGCATCTAATGTGTCCATCCATACATCTTTTTCCCACAACTCAGCATTTTATTTTGTAAATTCATCATTTTTTAAAAGATATGTAACTGCCATAGTCCTAGCCTAAATATAACAATGATCACAAGGCTATGTATCATTCTATCTATTTTCACAATTTCTAATAGTTGTATAATTTATAGTAGATACATTCCTCCAAATACAGATTCTAAAATTATAGGGATTCCATTTTAATCACTACAAGGTATATTTGTTTAATTGACATCAATAGATTCTGTACATAGAGTAGTAAATTGAATATCATGATCTTTCTAAAATACATTATAAAAACAACTTCTAATAACTTTGGATCCTAAAGCCAAATATCCATTGGACTTGGAACATAACATCCTTTTGCTGAGATTGGTCTATAACATAGATCTTCAAGTGTTGTATTTTTACCTCCTATCTATACTTTTCTATTTCTGATTATATTCTATAAAAAATATATCACTTGTAATCCTTCCTTTTAAAATACATTCACCCAATTTTCATTCCTATAAGTTAATATGAATTAATTTGTTCTATAAAATGGACCATAATTTTTAGAAGAACTCTCTTATTCTTAATAAGTTCTACTACTAGAAGAAACCCACAATGCTAAGTAAAAAATTAAAAAAATATACATTGGGGATCAGTTAAGACTTTTAAATTATATAATCCTAATGACATTATTCCAGTCATAATTAGGCAGATCAAAAATACAAAGCAAGGATATTTTGATCCAAAATACCCTATATGATAAAAGATTCTTATCATCAATAAATATTATTATTTCTAATAATTTTATTAATGTAAAAAAATAGAACTAATATAAAAGATATATAATAGTTTCAATAAAACTAAATTTATTCTCATTGAATTCATTCAAATATCTATATAAATGTATTAAAGTTATTCTTTTCATCCTAATATTGGTAGTAATTTTGTTTACTATCTTTTCATTCCTTTTCGAATTAAAGGCTTTGCACTTCCATCTATTTTATCTTTCTTCATCACTTAATTAATAAAATCTATCACCAAAATAGATGCTCTAAATTCTACTCTTTTTTTAACTAGATTTCCTTCTGTAAAATTTTTTTTATGCTTTGTTACATTTTAAGGAGATGTAAATTAAATAGGTGGTAACTTTATATTATCTCCTGATTGAAACGTAACCTTCATTGATGTGAGTTAGCTACTTGAATTATTATAAAGTGTGTTTTCAAGAGATTCTTTATTACTGATTGATATTGCAGATTTTTCTTTAATTACAGGTAGCTTTGTTGCATCTCTTTTCTTATTTATTTTTAATTAATTGATAAGAGGAGACTTTTCTAAGTCAGAAGATATCAATTTAGGAGACAGCAAGACAGAGTTCAAATCTAAATTATTCAAAAACATTGATGGCCTAATCTGATTTGTTTATCTAGTCGATATTTACTATTGCATAACAAATTATTTATATTATTCTTATCGAAGATATTATTATTTTAGATTTAATATAAGTGATTTGAAAATTTTATTATCAAAAGAGAAATTTAAGGATAAATGTAAATTAAAAATTTGATCATATGTGATAAATAATAGAATGTCCTAGAGATAAGAGCGATGAAAATTTAGGGTTTTTAATATTATACATCCACTGTTAATTGATGAATCAGAAATTTATTTTACAATAAAATCAATTATTTTAATCGATTTAAATAATTAGAAAATGTTTAGTAATTATATAATTTAAAATTTGACTAACATAATCAGATTGATTAAAATATAATATATAATATAAGAATGGAATTTTGATAATATTCTATAAACAATTTTTTCATATAAAAATTCAAATAGCCAATACTTATTATTCCTCTAAATAATTTTTTATATTACAAATAAGCTTGGTTAAAGTAATTATTATATTATTATTTTTGATTAAGAAAAGCCAGTAATTTTCTTCACAGTTCCATTTAATTTTATCTAGACTGAACATAATAGATTCATTCTCTCTTGTCTAATTTGTAATTTTCATAGCTATATAACATATATTTATAATCCTTATCTATTGTACTTTTGAAGATTATTTTATAAACTTCATCTAATTCTAGAATTAAAGTAAATCTTCCATCAACCATATTTATATTTGGTAAGACAAAAATATCATATTTATGGAGGGATAAATATATATATTTGAATTTTTCTTATTAAGCGTCATTATCTTTATACACTCAACTAATTATATTAAAATTGGAAATGAAATATAAGAATTTAGTAGATAAATAAGATTCAGTTTCTATAACCTTTATACCGAATTATTATGATAAAAATAATTGATATTTCATTATTTAATATTCCAACCAATATATGTAATAATAAGATAAGCATATGTTTATAAATATGTTAATATTATTATTAAAAAATTAAATGACCTATGCTTTAATAGATTTAAAATAATTGACATGATCCTGCTTAAAAATATAATAATTCTAATATTATTGGATTTATAAATATAAAATTCCATAAAATTCTTGATATCTTTTAATTATATTTTAAAGAAAATACATTTAAAGATAAGAAGATTTATTAAAAATAACATGTGCTTTAATGATTATTCTTTTTATTTTAATTAAGTAATTAATTAATCAACCCATGTATATAAAATAATCAATTTTTATTAATTTAAATAAAATATAAATACATATATATCATAAAAAGTGTGTAAAAATAGAACATGCCAATATTAATTTATTGATATATTTCACAGCATCTCATTTTACAATTTTTTATATGAGTAATTGAAATATCAATATATTTTGAATTAATTAAACTAATGAGTGAAACCTATTTAACTTTTAGGATTTAAAATAATTTATCATAATAAATGAGATGTAAACCAAAGAATTGAGTTTTTTTTGATATAATTATTATAATATTAAATGGGTTCTTGTTCTGGATCAGTATAAAATAAATAAAAGCAATCAAGAGATGAAAGGATTAGAACCGAACCAGATAAAGAAAGAGGAAGTGATGCTTTCACAGGCGGTATCAATATTTCAAATGTTTCGAGAAAAAGTGATGAATTAAAAGGCTTAGATTTGCCTAATCAAAAAAAGAAGACAATGAAAAAGTAAGAAAGTCTTAAAGTCACACTTTCTATAACAAATGGTCCTATATCTAAATACTATATCAGAAAGAACCTACGTTATTTAGAAGGTGTTAATTTTAAAGATAATATGTTTGTTGTATAACATGTAGTTACTGGAAAAATTAGAGTAGCAGAAAGATTTTAAATAAATACAAACACTAGTGCTTTCATAAATAAAATAGTATACTTATAATTAGTAAATATTTGATATATTTTAGAATCATCCAAATTTGCTTGATATATATGGAATTTTTTAAGAAGATAACTATTTTACTATTATTTCTGACTATTGTAATGGTGGATCATTATTAACATTGCTATCAGAAAGGAATTCTCATTTTGAAGAGGAAGTTGCTGCTTAATGTTGTAGATAAATTTATGAATTAATGGGATATTTACATAAATTTGGGCTTTATCATGGTTAATTAAGTTTGAAGAGTTTTGAAAAATACAATTAAGGAAAGAAAAAATTTACAATAAAACTTGTTGATTTTAGTTGTTTATTTTGTAAATCAGATATTAATGAAAACAATGTATAATTTTTATCACCTGAATGTTGCAATGAAAAATCAAGTTATACATCTGCAAGAGATTAATGGGCAGTTGGAATCATTACAATGGCATTAACTCTAGGTAAATTACCTTTTAATGCAAAATCATAATAAGAATGTTTAGATAATATTCAATAATCTTGTAAAAAGGAAGGCTTTATATAAAAGGAATTAGAGAAATAAGTAGCTAATCCTTTGATTAAAGAGTTAATACTTTAATTTTTGTAGGTTTCTCCTTCAAAAAGAATAGATTTTTTTTAAGCCTTAGAGAGTAAATGGATGAAAAATTATGAATAAATTTTCAAATAATAGTTTAAGTAATGTTTAGATGAATTAACAAAGAAAAAAGAAGCAAACTTTCTTCAATCTTGCTTTCTTTTAATGATGATTAAATAATTTGATGATTAATACTCTTAAATATAAGAAATATTTAATGGATTAGATCTTGATAAAAATGGTAGACTCACAAAACCAGAATTAGTTAAACATTATACATAATACTTTCATCTCAAATATAATTAACATGAGATATAAGAATTTGTAGATGAGATATTTGATGCTTCAGATCTTAATCATAGTGGTGATATAGAATTTTCTGAGTTTTTAATTGCTCTATCTAATTAAAAAACCCTTATTACTAATGAAAATTTAAAGTGTATTTTTAATTAAATAAATCATGGATAACCTTTTGGATTTATAGAATTGCAACCATTATTTAGAACTAAGGAAGCTGAACTATAAAATTCCTTACAATAAATTCCAAATCAAATTGTATTATTTTTATAATTAATATTAGATTGATTTTGAAGAATTTACCAAAATGATGTTTGAATTGATAGAAAACAAATGATATGTATAAAATCTATATATAATTTCTAAAATAATAATAAAAATCATTGACCCATTATTTATTTAAAGATAGGATAAGTAATCTAAAATTATTAATATTATTCTTTACAATTTTATCTTAGAATTCATTAAACTCAACTTTTAATTAATTTTCACGATGAGGAAATAAAGATATCATCTTCCCTAGAGTAATTCCCTAATTACTATATGATAATTAGGAAAAAGCATCCTAGAGTTAATCTTCAATTAAACATGTAGAAGTTTCAAAGAGTGATGTAATGTATTCATTATAATCAAAACAAATTCCATCATTTTATTTTTCAATTTCAAGAAATTAACTTATTATTTCATCTTCTGTGAATTTATTCTTTTTCATAAACTCCATTAATTCAGTTTTACTCACCTTACCATCATTAGATGCATCCATTTCATAAAATAACTGATTTTCTCTATCTTCATTAAAATCAATATTTATATTTTTAATAATAAATAAAGCTAAACATTAATAAATGCATGATTTCTTTTTTAATTGAAATACTTTCTTAATAAGCTGATTTATTCTCTTTTTACTAATAACCTATTTAGATTGAAAACATATATGTTATGAAGCTGATTGTAATGATAATCTATTTTTTTATTTTGAACTCAATAATAATTTTAATAACTCTGAATATTGAATATTACTAATTTAGTTTATTACAGTTTAAATGATTATTTCATGATTAGAAATAATATCTTATTAAATGGATTCAATATTATCTCCATGAAAGAGGTGTTAATTTGTAAATAATTCAAGTCCTATTATTCCAATTGCCCAACAATCTCTTTATTTTGTATAAATATTTCCTTTATTACATGCTTCAGGTGAGAAATATTGGATTTCTTCTTCTGTATGTTTTGGTTTAGACAAGATCTTTTCTATATCTATTAACTTAATTTTTTCTGTCTAACTACATATTCGAAAAGAACTTATATTCAAATACCCATGAATTATATTTTTTTAATGTAAGTATTCTATAATTTCAATTATTTACTTCAAAATTTCAGTTTAATTTTCAATTTAACTTGCAATTAATTCTTTGTTTTCAAAATGTTCCTTGACAATTAAAATTTAATTATCAAATTCTAATATTTCAATGATATTTTATAATCTTGGATGAAACTACTTTAATGATAACTTTTACTAATTGCAATTCTAATATTTATTTAACAAGTTCTTTTGATTATTAATTATTTTCATATAATGTACCAATTCTTAACTTTTTAGTTATTAAATGTCTTAATTATAAATTTTATTCATTATAATTCAATATTTCATAGCATTATTAAAGTGGTACTTATTTTAAAGCAATATTAACTTTAAAAGTTTTTTTATTTGACTTATTTTAATTGGAATATTCACTTTTTTCTTAACTATATTAAGATTTCTTTTCAGTTTAAACACTACCTCTCTTTCTTCTTCCAACATCTAGTATCATTCCCATGTCTATTTTTTATTTTTAGTTGCCTTATTATGATAATTAACTAGAAGGTGATTTTGAGTGTTTATATACATTTTCAATATTAGCTTTAATAGTATCATTATTAGAATTCTTGTTTTATTGGATTGTATCGTTTTTTTCTTCTTCTTTTATTTTCCTTTATTTTTAAGAGTGACTAGTGCAAACCCCCATAAATGTAATAATTATTTATTAATATTATTTTTCACTTAATTATACATTTATGATAGATAGATTATTCTTAAATATTTATAATACTTGAAAAGCTAGTTGCAATAATTCAAAAAACACAAAACTATTTTTATAAATGATTTACTTTGATATGCTATTTTCGATTGATATAAAATATAAATTTAGATCAATTTAATTATTGATCATTAATGCAAGCACTAAATTTATCAGAAAGATAAAAGTATTTTTTATATTGATCACTGCTTAATTAAAGAAATCTGATTAAAACTATTTAATTTTTTAATTGAAAACTTGAAAACACCAAACAGTCACTCTATTAGAGAGGTTAAGGAAACTGAAAATTTAAAAGATATTAACAATAACCATATATATTATAAAGGCATAGTTTAAGAGCTATTAATAATTAAATGAATTCGAATTTATTTTCAAGCACTATCAGAGAAATTAAAGAAGAAAGGCAGTGTATAACTAAATTAGATTGCTTAGTTAATGAGATTAATATTATGACTCCTAATGATGTAGAAATTTAATGTCTTAATTCTCTAAAAGACCCAAAAAAAACTTCAAATCTGATTGAATCTACCAATAAGGTAATGTGAAGAATTATTTTAGCAATTTTAAAGGAAAGACTCTATAGCAACAAAGATTTTTAAGAATGTAGAACGTTTAAAAAAGAAAAAACAAAAAAATAAAGATTTTCGAATAAATTCATTGAGTTGTATTTAAGCTGAAAATGAAATGTAATTCAATTAGAGAAGGGTAGTAAGCTTAGAAGATGATAATAAATAAAAATCCCATATTTGCTAAATTCCAATTCCTAAATCAGTAAAGCAATTGAAAACCGATCTATTTAAAGATAAGAAACAAATCAACATTAGATAAGTACCTAAATTAAAAGAAAGATGCACATTTATAAAAGAATTATTTTTTATCAGCACAATTAAGGCAATAATTATTATTTATTAAAACATAATAAAATATCACAAAACAGTCGATATTAAGGATTTGCCATAATTATCATCATAAGATCAAATAGAATAATATAGTGCAGAATATGTAAATTAGATGAGATAAGACTTGAAACTCAAAACAGATTTTAGCTTTTATAATTTATTCTTTTGGAAATTTAATTCATGTTTCACTCTAACAATGTTAATATTAGGAATGATTGAATCAAATTCCAATTTTATTATTTCACTATTATTGTACAATATAATAGAAAATGTTCAAGATGGTAATAAAGGAGCAGCTTAATTGAATGCATTATATTTAACATTCCTATCATTAATTACTATAATTGGAAGACATTACCAATAGTAAAAATATTATTAATAAATTATAGTATATAATTAAGTAAATTTGGAGGGAAACTTAGATAAATCTTAATGTATATATTGATTGAAAAAATTTCAACATTATCAAATTGTTCAATTTAGAAATCAAATTCTGGTTCCATTTTAAATATAATATGTGGTGATTTATCAACTTTGGAATGGTAATATGGATATATCTATTGTATACCAATTGTTCCATTTTCATTATTATGTTCTGGTTGGATTTTGTGGGTAAGAATTATTTGATTTTTTAGCTCTAATTTTAAGGACCTTATGGTTTGATGGCAGTTTTAATTTGTGTAATTACATATCCAACACAAACAATAATTTAAAAGTGTATTTAAACAAAAATAAAATTGTTGAAAGAATACTAAGATTTAAGATTAAAGTAACAAACTAATTTTTTAGATAATATTTAAACAATTAAAATGTATTGTTGGTAAGAGACTGTAGGATAAATGATATTAAAAACTAGATTTCTAGAATGGAAGCAACATATTTAAATATAAATTTTAACTTTAATAGATAGATCTATAAATTAATCAATAAATATTTGGGGTTCCTTTTTATTTTTAATCATAATATATAATTTAGGAATTCCTTTAAATTTATAAAAGGTTATATTAACTATATAATTAATGGGTTCAATAAGATATTATTGTGTACATTAAGTTTCATATGGATTAAAAGCAATTATTAATTTAAATGTTATTTTTAAAAGAATTAAAGATTTTACAAAAATTGAACCACTTTTTGCTCAGATTCTTGAATTTTAGAATGATCATCCAAATGTTAATGCTTAAAGTTATCTTGAATTATCTAGTAACAAAGAAATGAGTTAATTTTCATTAATAAAATTATCAGAAAAAGCAAATCAATAAACTAAACCAAGTTTTCAAATATTGTAAGATGAAGCAATTTCAATCCGTTCTGTTTATTGTTATTGGGAATTATAAAAATTACCATTATTAAAAAATATCAATTTTATTGCCAATAGAGGATAATTAATAAGTATTATAGGTAAAACTGGATCAGGTAAAACTACATTTCTATAATTGATATTAAAAGAAATTCCATATATTTAAGGATAATTAGAATTTGCAGATAATCTGACATTTGGTTATGTAGAATAAGAACCCTTTATAAATCCAACTACAATAAAAGATAATATTTTATTTGGAAGAGAATACAATAAAGAATTATTTGAAGAAGTAAATATTTTAATAAATATTGTTAGGTTTTAAAAGCATCTAATTTTTTATCTGATTTAAATGATCTCCCAGAATCTGAGAATACAGTAATTGGAGATAATGGGGCAACTCTTTCAGGAGGTTAAAGAGCAAGATTAAGTTTAGCAAGAGCACTATATGCTATGCCAAATGTATATTTATTTGATGATCCACTATCAGCAGTAGACTCTAAAGTTGCTAAACACATTTTTTCTAAAGCAATCTAATAATTTATCTTTTAATATTAACCAACCAAAAGAAATAATCATCCAAATCCAATAGTAATTATGACTACTCATTAATTATCATATGCATTGAAATGTGATTATATAGTTGTTTTGGAAGATGGTTAGATTATATGTTAAGGGAGGGCTAGTGATGTTGGGTTGTAGATAGAAAAGATTTTAAATGTTTAACCTGTAGAAATAAATGAAAATGGTTAGAATAATAGATAATAATTATCTTGTGATGGTAAGAAGAAATCAAATAATTTCATTATTTATTATAATCTAACAAATCTTTTGACACCTAATGAATAAGTAATAAAAACTATTAAAAAGTTGATATTATATGTAACTAGATCTAAATTGTTATTAATTTTATCTTTAAATATATTAACTGAAATAATAAGAAATTTATTTTATAGATTGCTTACATTAAATGCAGATGATGAAGGTATTAAGAAATATGCTTTAATGATATCAATATTAGTAATAACTCATTTAATTAATAATGTATTGAAATATTCAATTTGTAGTTATGTAATTTTAGATATGAATAATGAAATATTTTCAAAATCAATGTAAGCTTTGGCTCATGGAAAAAAATCATTTTTTGATAAATAACCAAGTGGTATTATAATCAATAAATATTCAACTGATTTATCTATTTTAGATAATCAAATGCCAATAGTTTTGATTGATATATTTGAAGATGGTTGTTAATTTATAGTATCACTATTAATGATTGGATTTCTTTAACCATTTTTTTTTTTACCTATAATGCTTACATTATTTTTAAGTTACATTTTGTTCAAAACAGTTGTTTAAATTCTATCTTAATTAAAAATTAATGATTTATCATAAAGAGCTCCTTAATTATCATAATTTAAAATATATATTTAAGGTTTAACTCATTATCGATTATCTAATTAATTTAACTAATTAAAATAGAAATTTTTTATTTTAGCTAATAATAGTTTTTAATCAAATTACATTTATCATTAAACTCAAAAATGTTTTTCATAGTATGTTGATTTGATAGCATTATTTACAAAAACTTCTGGAACATATCTAATAATAGCATTTATTGAAGATAATTCATTATTTTCACAAGCATTATTATTATTATAATCATTTCATGCCCAAAATACATTACTTAGATAATTAATGGAATTAAGCGGACTTTTCAATTCATATGAAAGATTATTAGATATTTAATAAATTGATAAGGAAAAGGATGATGAAACAATTAGTACAGTATTACCACGTGCTTGGCCAAAGTAAGGTAATATTGTATTAAAAAACTTATCATTGTAATATTATGCCAATTAATAACCAGTCTTAAAAAATATTGATTTAGAAATTAAACCAGAAGAGAAAATAGCATTTGTTGGAAGAACAGGTGCTGGTAAATCATCTCTTATTTCTGCATTATTTAGATTAGTTGATATTGGATCTGAGAGTTCTATACTTATAGATGGTTGTAATGTTAGAGATCTATCATTAAATCAATTAAGAAGAGCTTTGGCTATAATACCATAATAACCCCTTTTATTTTATGGATCTATAAAATAAAATTTAGATCCATAAAATTTGTACACTGATTTAGATATTTGGAAGGCATTATCAGAAGTCAATATAGATGGGATGATTGAATAATAGAAATAGTTATTGAATTGTAATGTTATGGATCTGAATTTATCAGCTGGATAGAAATAATAATTATGTTTGGCAAGAGTAATTTTGATGAGAAGGAAGATCTTGATTCTTGATGAAGCATCTGCTAATATTGATATTTTAACAGATGAAGCTATTTAAGAGATTATTCGATCTAAATTTATGGATTGTACTATACTTACAATAGCACATAGATTAAATACTATTGCATATTATGATAGGGTAATAGTATTAGAGAATGGGGAAATTGCAGAATAGGGTAATCCTTTTGAATTACTAAGTGATGATTATAATGCTGAGTGTATCAATAAGAAAACTAAATTTGCAGAGATGGTACTTGAAACTGGGAATAAGAATGCTCAACAGATTTTTGTAATGGCAAAAGAATCATATTATATTAAATAATTAAAAAAGAAATAAAAATCTAAAATTTGATTTATTTAATTTATTTTATAATTAAAACAAATGTTATAAAGTCACAAAGAAAAATTATAACAGAAAGTGTCATCATATAAGGATAAGATAAGATCTTAATTGAAAAAAAAAATAGTTGTCCTTAAAGATCAATTGAAATTGAGACATTCCAATAGTGATTGTAAATTTATATTATTACTATGACAATAGTATAATTAGAAACACCATTTTATTAACAATCAAACATTGCTGCTGATTTTTCTGATATTTATGAATTAGGTATTAAATTAGGAGAAGGTGCTCATGCAATAGTTCATAAAGCAATTAGAAAAAGTGATAATTAAGAATTCGCTGTAAAAATATTTAGATCAAGTGATCCAGAAATAATTGCTTCCATTAGAAAAACTTATTAGATTGGATCTATGCTTCAACATCCTAATCTAATAAAAGTAAAAGAACTATATATTAATTAATAAAATGGATATTCCTATTAAGTTATGGAATTATGTCATTATCCAAATTTAGAAAGTTAAATATCCAAATTGAATCCCATTGAAATAAAGACAGTTATGCGGTACATTATTAATTAATTTAACAATAGTGAATTATTGAATGGATTACTTTACATGCATAAATAAAAAGTTTGTCATAGAGATATTAAACCTGATAATATCCTATTTGATGGTTAAAATATTAAAATCTTAGATTTTGGAGTTAGTAAGAGATTCTATATTAAATAATAATATATTGACATGTGGACACCAACAGGTACTTAATTTTATTGTGCACCTGAGATATATACAAAAGTTAGTTACACTTACAAAGTAGATTTGTGGGCTGTTGGAGTATTAATATATATTTATTAATATAGGTAATTCTCTATTAGCTATTAACATAATAATTACCATTTCAAGATGAGACTGCTCATGGAACAATTGAATTAATATGTAAAGCATAATTCTAAGATCATCCAGCTTTAGATAAAGTTAGCAAAGATCTTTTATCTAGATTATTATAAATTGACCCAAAAAAACGACTCAATGCAGAAGAAGCATTACATCATGTTTGGTTTTAAAATAAAGAAATAAAATAATAATGTATGGATGATATGATTGTGCATGATGGCCTAGTTAATAATTCATCATTAATTATCTAACTTAGTTAATCATAAAATAGGAATTCTCATACAAATCATATTCAAACAAAAGTTGAAGCATTTAAACCTACCATACATGTAAAATAATCTTCATTTAGAGATTAATCATGATATACTAGGTTATTTAATATTAATATTCACAACAATAATAAAATCACAATAATTAAAGAATCTTTTCATGTAATTCTTAAATCATATTATCATTAAATTCTTATAATATCTTGTCTAATTTTAATTTCAAATTTTATTATCTCAATTATTCCTTTATATTTTAAGAATTTAATAATCTTAATATTGAATCTAAGAACTATTTTATTAATCCAATTTCATTAACATCTAATAAACTACAAATTATTTAAACAAATCCTAAATCTAATAACTTTTTTGATACTATTTCATCTCCTGTTGCTTGTAAATTCAAAATTATACTCATACAATAACTCTTTTCATTTGGTGAAGCTATAATATTTTCAATAATCTTGAAAAGTATTGGATGAGTAATTATCTTTATTGCAGCATTATTATCATTATAACTTAAATTTGTTAAAATTAAATAACTTTCTTTTCTTATGCTTTATGATTTATTACTTAAATTCTATTATAATTTATCTAATATTTTTAAATCTAATAATTTCTAATATTAATTAAAACTTATACATGTGCAACTACTAATGTATCTGATAAAGTGAACTACTTTATTATAACTAAACATTTATCCATCATTGTACATTCATGATTGATTATTGTTTCAAAAACATTTGATTCTAATAATAACTCATCAAATTAAGAATCATATAATCGACCTAATGGCATTAAATATTCTTCACATTACTCTTTTTTTAAAGCCTAAACAACAATCTTAAGACCAATAAATTTTTAATTTGAATCAATTTATTAATGTTCAATTAGAGAATTCAACAAAAATATTATACTTGTTAACAATTATCCTTCTGCTATTTAAACAAATTGTAATAAATTAGGAAGCAAATTCATAAATGACAATCTATATTATGATATCATGTTTCCAAGAAAAAAGAATATGAACTTGTATGAATTTTCAAGATTTTCCATAAATTTACTTTTCTACTCAATTTCTAGAACTTAATTTAAAGAGTAATCACTATTTTATTAGATATTTGATCTATTTTATACTTTCTATTATATTACTATAAAATACATTTTCGAACTCTAAGTTTGCTTGAATAATTAAATTCATTGCTTATTTAATTAATGTCTAACTAATAGGATTGTTTGGAAATGATGAATTTAAACATAAATTTGTTAATACTTGATAACATACTAATTAACCTAATTATATAGATTATATGCAGAGCTCCAAGTAGTGATTATTTATAAAATAAACTTCATTTTACTAATTATCATTTATTTGTTTAAATATCACTTAATGAATCAATCCTAATTGAACTACATTCTTTTATTATAAACATTCTTTTAATTGAGGAATTAATTAATCAAACTATATATCAGGTAATTTAGAAGATAATTAGAATTACAATCTTTTCCTTTAAAAAAAGGATTCTTAATCTTTTTTCCTTATTTCTTATCTAAATTATTCTCTCATATTTAACATCATATTTTAAGAAGTATTAGAATCCATCAATTAATTTATATGTTAAAATTTTATATATAATTAATTCATTCTTATTGATACAATCCAACATGCCAAAATGGAAATAAAGACATGATATAGCAGTAAATGAATTCAAAAACAGCTTTAAAGAATGTACTAATAGTTATTTTCTAATCTAATATATTGTTTATAAATTAATTACTTTATTATTATTATTTAAGTCTACGAACTTCATCTTCTAATTCAGGTTCTTCATCTTAATCTTCACCTTCCTACTTTTCATATTGTATCTCTTATATATTTTCATCAGGAATTTCATTTTCCTTAAGATTTTCACCCACTTTCTTCTCATTATTTTACATTTATGGTTCATCTATTTTATTCTAACTATTAATTTAAGCAGCTTCTTTAGAAATTATTTCTTAAACATTTTCTTGAGATTATTTGTTATTAAATTGCAAATCCTCCTCTTCTTTAAAGATTTATTCTTATGTGTCAATTAATTAAGTTTTTTAATCTGAGGAGACCTTGAATTTATTTTCTTGCTATCTCTATATTTTCTTTTCATTATCATTAATTTATTAATTTGATTCTTATTTACTTACAATTTTTCCCATTTAATCTTATTATTATAATTCTTATGCCTGTAATATTTTAGCTTGCCTAATCAAAAAATCTTAGAGGTGTTCTTTACTATCAATTTAAAAATCCTATTCATTTTCATAATCATTAAATGAATCTAATTCATCAAGATTCTCTTGTTATTCAATTTATTACTCAAAATTGTTCTAGTTCAATTTTGAATTGTTGCTTAGATTTTATGGTTGTATTATTTTTTCTTTATTTTTATTTTTTATGTTCTCCTATTATTACTATTATTATTACTATTATTATTATTATTATTATTATTATTATTATTATTATTATTATTATTATTATTATTATTATTATTACTACTATTACTATTACAGCTATTATCTTAATTATGCTTTAAATTCTTGATATTTAATCCAATAATAAATTCCAATAATCACCAAGAGATAATAATAATTCGAACCCTTAAAATAAGAGCTAAATAAAGTATAGAATGCTCCAATATAACAGATCATTTTAAAATGGAAAAAGATCTCTTACTACATAGGGGAATCTCTGTCATCTAATTTCTTAATTTATTCTTACCTAATATCCTTTATTATTATTATTATTATTATTTTTGTATTTTTTCTGAAGCATTCTACTAGTATTATAATCCCATGATTGGCATATTACTAATTATTGGCTAGAGATTAGATAAAGTAAATTAATTAGCAAACTATACTCTTTGAATATTTTTTGTATATTCAAGGTAAAGTAATTACTTATTTGTTTATGAGGGTTTTTTTTTATTACCAATTACTGTTAAAAATACAATTTGTTCTTATTTTTTAACAATTTCATGTAATTTCTCATTGCCATTCAATTCCAATCCACCATGATATAATTTAATTGTTTCTGGATCATAGAAGGATTAATTTCTGGCAGAGAATTAACAAATCTAATGTAAAGTTGATTTGTACTTATTCAGTTGTCCAATGATTTGGACATTAGAACTCTAAAAAATGTCCATTTGGAAACTTAACTTTTATATTCATTTAATAATGTATTAATGGGATTTAGTAAATGAATCGAGTGATTAGTTAAGAATGTTTAGCTATTGTTTTATAGTGTGGAGTGCATTATTTATACTTTGCTATGATAGGATAAAATTGAATAATCTTAGTTCTAAAAAACAAATAGATGTATTCAACCGAATCGTCTCAATTTTACATGGACAATTTACTTTTTGGGGATCATTAATTATAATACTTTCACAAACTCCTTACTAATTATAGGAAATGAATTCTTCTGAGATGTAATTCGTTATGATAGTCAGTGCAGGGTATTTTGCATACGACGTCATAATTTGTACTTATTTCGATTTATATGACTATTGGTTGATATTTCATCATGTCATAAGTTTAATGGCTTTTGGAGAGAGTATTCTAAATAAGAAATATGGACATATCATTATATGTAACAACTATACTAAATTACTATATAGTCGGTATGTTCATCACAGAAATATCAAATTTGCCAATGCATCTTAGACATATTTTGGGTTGTTTTGGATTAAGATAAACAAAAATTTATGAATCAATTGAAATCCTTTATTTCTCATTATTCATAATTTTTAGAGGAATCTTGAGTCCAGTTTTATTAATACGAACATATGAAGATCTACATGCTCCATTATTAATAAAAATTTCTGCATCTGGATTATTAGTATATTCAACCTATTATATCATTGAGTAAATTTAAATTCTATTTATTTATAGGATGGTGAAAATAACCTAAAGAAAAATCAAATCATATAGAGATAGAAAGAGAAGGAATTTAACAATGTATTGGTTTTCTCAGAATCCATTACTTCCTTCACAAAAATACGTAGACTCAATATTATGAAAATATTAATTATTAGATCTATTTTTATACAATATGATTTTAACTTTTGTCTAAAAATTTTTATAAAGAAATAAGTAATCATTTTTTAGAGTAAATAGATTTTTATCAAAAATTAAATAGTAATCTATAATAAATAATTTTATTTTATTAAATGAATAAATTTACCTTAAAATTTGATGATTAAATATTAGAAGAATAATATCAATAAGTTAAACTGAGAAAAATTAGAAAACCCATATATTTAGGACTCTTAGTACTATGTTTTTGCATGATAAGTTCAAATGCTATAATAAATTTGATTACTTAATAATAAACACTTTTAAAAACATATATCAATTATTCTTATCTAATTTTTATGGTATTTTAAGCTATTATAGTTTACAGAAAACCTGCTTTAATAAAATACTTATTAATTATTTCAAATATTGCCACAGGTTTGTTATAATTTAATTTTAATGATTAAACCCCTGCTTAAATATACTATGCATAAAGTTCATCATTTACTTAGTTATAAGCAGTTGCCTACTTTATATCAGATTTTCAAGATGGTGTAATATAAGTTTTAGCTTTACTATTTATAAGATTGATTATTACTTCTATAAAAATAGATGATGTGGACTTATAGACTGTTTTAATAGGAATAGCATCAACATTATTTATTCTAATCACTTTATATGTTAATGATCAAAATTCAAGAAAAGAGTTTTTATCAAGTATTTCAGAAGATCTATGGGATCATTCACTGTCTATTCTAATTAAAAAACCGCATTTTAGGGTTTAATATAATAAGGAGTATATGAAAATTGATTTAATTTCATCACACTAATTATATGATTTCCCTGGTTATGATGAAAATATATGTTAAGGATGTAATAGTAGATAAATATTACACTCATATAAATACAATAAATAAAATTTAAGTGATTTTGTTCTAGAATAATAATAAACAATTTAAAATTCAATAAAAGTTGAATACAAACATCATTCATTTTATTTAAGAATAGTGTGTGTAGGAATTAAGAATTAAAATATTATAGTAATATTTGAGAAAAGAAAAGAAGATACATATGGATAAATAGTTCCAAAAAAAATGAGAAACTTAATTTTTCAATAAATTAAATTAAATCATAATAATAAAGATCAATTTATTAAATATTATTTAATTAAGGATTATTATCATTATTATTAATTAATTAGATGTAATTGAAAGAAATAGATATAACATAAATGTTTAAGAAGTTGAATAAATAGTATAAATATTCAATAAAACCAATTAAAATACTACCAAAAAGTATTAAATTAACATTATAAACATATTCATCCTAATTGAAAATATTTTTAATTTAAATCTTTCAAATATTTGATTAAATCTCTAAAAAAAGGATATCCATATTATTTCAAGATTTAGAAGATTGTATTTTAGTATAGATTATATTTAAAAAAAATATAGAAGGAAATATGAATCTATTATTTCTTAGTTTATATAGTAATAACATATTTATTTAAAAAATCAAATAACTTTTGCTATTTAATGAATTAAACATTGATTTATAAATGCAATTTAAAAAACATATTCCATACTAACTAATTTAATGATTTAATTAATATATATATATATATATATATATTTATTTATCAACAAATTTTTGTATCTTTCTCTAATATTGTATTCTCATCTGGATAATTATTAGTATTTATTCTTGTTTCTACATTTGTATTAGTTGCTCTAAAAGTATGAGGCATTAGTAATTTAGATGCCCTATTTTAAGGTAGAGACTTAATCTTTTATTCTAATTATTCGCTTTCTTTTATTATTTATCTTTAATGTTTGCATTAACGATAAGTTACACAGAATAAAATTGATATTATAAATATCAATAAAATGAAAAACAAAAATTAAATTGAAATAATTTAAGATCTTTAATTAAAATGAACTTTAAATTCTCTTTATTTCCAACTTTCATTGGTTCTATACATTAATTTATATTTTCGTTCAATTTATTTTGAATCCGCTAAAATTTGTATAAATTATAATACTATCAATAAAGCACTTAATTTAAAATGGTTATATTTTTGGTTGAAATTGAAATAAATATTTAGATGTAGTTCCATATATATTCTAATCAACTAAAACAAATTACTTAACCGAAGTTAATTAAAAAGGTATTGCATTTTATTTATCTATATAATAAATGAGAAAATGAGTGTGAAATCCTTAAACAAGAATAAATTATTCATTAACATCAATATCTAAAATTTTATTTGAAATGTTGAATTTAGCGACAGAACCCCATTTTCTACTATAAATTTCAATATTGAATTAAATCACATAATATTAATTTTTGGACTTATAAGCTACAAATACAAATGCATTATTATTAATGGTTAATGCAATACCATCATTTTTAGGACCAACATTCTTCAAAATCAATTTACTATAAATTTATTCATTTGATATTGTCAAATCAATTACTATAACACCATTAATCTTACACAATATATATATTATATAATTAGAGTCCTTAATTTTTTAAATTGAAAAATCTCTAAAATCAACTGCCAATAATCCAATAGATTAATTATTTAAATTATAAGATTAATATTCTTAATTAATAAAATAGATTTCTAAACCATCTTATCCAATAGCAGAAAATAAATAAAAATCAATAATTTCAGAATAATATCTAGTTTGTCTACTTTACCAATTCTTAATATCGCCTTATTTTTTTAGATCACCAAAATTAATTTAATAAGCATAATTAGGATAGACAAAAATTAGATTTTATGAATATCCTATTAATTAAGGAAGTGAATCCTAGTAATTAGTGAAATTAATATCATAAATATTGGTGATTTTCTAATTTATATTGACATGGAAAAGACGATTATTTATTGTTAATCCATAAATATCATTATTTCCAAGTATAACCATATCTATTAAGAGATCAGAATCTTCATATATTATATCACTAGTAGACAATGAAAATGTTTATCCTTCTGTAAATAAAGTTCGATTTTAGAGATAGCAAAACTGTGAATTAGTCATTATTTTATGATCATCACTAGGTTAATTGTAATCAATACTCTATCTAAACTAGTTAGGCATCTATTGCATCCATAACTTCAAATAAGGTCTTAACTTCACCAAATTTAACAAAATAGGATTAAATTGCTTTGCTTAAAGTAGGAAAGAGGATATAAATGAACAATAGCATGAATTTAGTATAAATTGAAAATGTATATTTATATTATTTAATATATTCATATAGCAAATTCCTATTTAAATATTAAAGCATATTTCGCAACGTCATCCTATTTATAGGATAATAGTTTTTGAATTATACTAATTCCATCCAATTACACAAATAAAGTAAAAAATTAATTAGATTTATTATCTTTAACCTTTATTTCTCCTTTTCTAATTATTTTAATTAACATTTCAAGTCCTTTCTTAAGATGTATTGAAACAATTTCTTTTTCATTTGCAATATCCAACATTTTTAGTAAATAATAAATAAGTCCATTTTTAACAAGTTAATTTACATCATCATTAGTCCCATGTTGAATAGCATTTCCTATTACTTCTAAAGCATCTCCTCTTAAATTAGAATTATCATCACTTAATGATCTAAAAAGAGAGATCAGAAAGTTTTGATTCGATAAAACCTTAAACAGAGTTTCTGTAGCTGCAAAGGTCTATATCATATCTCCACTCTTTTCTCTACTTTTAGGATCAACAATCATTCTAATATGAGCTATAAATCCACATTCTAATAAATATTTAATTTATTCTTCAGTTCCATAAAAAATGCATTCAAAAATTCTAAGAATAGATACAAAATTTCCCATTGGTAATAGATTAATTAATTAAGGTACTACTCCACTATTTATTAATGCTGTTATTCTATTAGGTTCTCCATCTATCATATATCCTAATGCCCAAATAGCATCATTAATCATTTTTAAATTTTATTGATTGAACTCTTCCATAATTACTTTTGCAAATATTTCAAATGCTAATTATACTTTATCAAATCTAGGACTTGGTCTACCTATACACAAATTAGCTAAACACCATATGTAAATTGATTTATATTTCTATTCCATTTTGCTTATTATTTTCTCCATAGTAAAGACTTACAATATAGAATCTCTATATTTGACAGATTCACCAGCTAATTTACCTAATATTGTTATGATTAACATAATTAATTCACTCTAATTACCATCTAGTACACTCAAAGATAATTATAGAATTCCATTTTACATAATAATTCTTGTTATTTCACTTCTACCACCAGCTAAAATTGATACGATTTCTAAAGTTATAATAATAATATAAACTACATGCAGCTTCAAGTTTTATCAAATATGTACTCCCGAATTAGATCATATGAAATAAAATAGGAATTAGCTCATTTTCTTAAGCAATCGATTCTGCTTATTCAAAATTCTTTTTAATTATTGAAATATAAATACTGACAAAGTTCTTTATAATTTTATTATTGCTCTATGGCTTTCAATAAAATTCTCTGATTTCAGTGCAATTATAGCATCCTTGGCAGATATATGATCTTAAGGCATTCTTAATATTTAAATTATTTCATCCTTCAACTCTTGACAGATTTACTCCTGTTGGACTAAGTCTTCATGGTTACAATTTTGTTACAATTTTTTAATTCCTCCTAATTTCTGACTATTTTTCATGTTTTCCTTGTTTATGTAAGAATAAAAGAAGATTTTAATTATTTATTGTTCTCCCCCCCCCCCATCCAATGGTAGATTCATAAGAAATAATAAATAATATAAACCATCTATAGCTTCTTTAAAGATATTAATATTATAAAAATTTCAATCCTATCCATTTTTATAATTATATCATTCTTACTATTTTTATTACTATTTTCTTATATCAATTTTATATCTTAAATAAGACAATAAAGCTATAATATAATATTAAGCACTTTAAATCTAATAGAAGAGTAGTGTATGATATATTTTTAAAGGTTCATATTTAAATGAAAAAATAAATTTATTGGATCTATGAATATATTCATTATATAGTAAATCAGGTTGATTAAAGAATTTCATTTGGACTGATATATTTTTTACTATGGTTAATTTTGGAGACTTTCCGGTTTGGTAATTCAGTTTATTGAATATAATTTTTAGAAAGAATATTACATTATTCACCTTAACTTCCTTATCTCAAATTAGTATAATTCTTTGATTTAATTATTGAATTCATGTCTTTTAAATTAGGATTTTGTTGTTTAATCAATATAATAAAAACTAAAATTATATAATTATCATGGCAACAATAGTTTTTTGATTGCTACTGATAATCTCTGACAATTTTATCTACATTCTTCTTCCAAATTACATTCTGAAATCTTATATTTCTCCTTAATCAAATACATAAACTCAATTAATTTATTGAATTCCTCTCCTTAACCTAAATCTCTTGTTAATTAAGATGTCAATACACACTAGGATTTAATAAATGTAAAATACTTGAGTAATAAGTTCTTAAGCAACATGTAAATCATTCTTTTCAAGATTAAATCTATCTTAAGGATAATTCATAGGAATAATTTTTTATAAATGGAACTTATGAAAATATGAATCTTTTGCTTTAAATCCAGTATAAAGTGCAAGATTTTTCATACATACCTAAGTTTTATATAGTACATCATTCCCCAATAGAATATGATCATTTCTAACAAGTAAACGATTCAATATAGTGAGAGCATAATCAAAACAAAAGGGAGTATTTAAGATATTACTCTCTTAATTGGGAAAAGTTAATCCTATATTATAAATTTTAATGGAAACTCCTTTTTTGAGAGTAATATCATTTTAAATAGATAATACATGTTCTATCATATAAGATAGAGTATGAGGAACACAATTACGATCAATAAACAAAACAGCTTTTTAATGATTAGAATTAATAATTTCATTTATCTTTTTATTGAATTCTTATTAAAATGTTTCTTTAATATATATAAATACTTTTTCGAATTTAATTGCTAAAGAATCTGTACTATCACCTAATTTATTTTTTATTAATTGAAGTGTGATTTCATCAGCACAAATATCATATAAAGGATAATCCTTATAATTTTATTTTAAATATTCTACTAATGTTGATTTACCAGAACCAGGTATCATCAATGGATAGATAATTACTATTTTATTTTGTGCTTATACATCTTCATCAGATTCTTCTAAATCCAAATCATTTTATTCTTCAATTGATGGTTATTCTGCAAATTCAAATTATTTTATTATTGAATCTAATTTATTAATATCAAGTTCATCTAAAACAAAGGTTCTATTTGGGAAATTCTTTTAACAATCTTTTAAATAAACTTAACCTTTTTCTAACCATCTTTCTAGACTCAATTATTGTACTTTTGGTTTCATAATTGTAAATTGAACACTAAAAGAACTTGCTATTGGATTTGAAAATTAAAAATCTTTACATTATAAGTTCTTTAATGATTAGTTGAAAGCTTCTTAATTCATACCTAAGAAAACAAAAATGATATTAGTTGGATCTTGATTTTGTAATGGTGAATTTTTTAAGTAAT